GGTGTGATGCTGGTTCAAGTCCAGCCCGTGTCAAATTTTTTTTTTTCAAATGTTAATCGTTTATTAAATTATATTAAGCCATCATGGGCGATATAGAGTTTTCATTTTTTAAATCTACATTTGATAACTGTATGGTGTAACATTCATTTGATAAAATAATTAATCGAAGAAGTCTTCGCTTGCAACCCAATGCTTAATTAAACATTAACGTATTCACTAGTATCTTCGCTGGTTTGTAACGACACTGAAAGCAATAAACAATGGAATATTCTAATCACGAGTACCGTGGAATCATGATGTATCAAGCATTGTTCAAGGCTTTGAAGGATGGTCTGATAGCATTTTATCTTATATTCAAATTACTGTATACAAGACGAATATGTATTTTAATTCAAGGCTCTATCGTGTGACTATTAAACGACATTTTCCACAGATTATTGTAATAAATTAATCTACGTAATGTGTACTAATGGATAGATGGGCCCAATAATTGACGGCCATTAATTATAACGCTCCTTCCTAATACCCAAATGTGTTTTAATAGGTACAAGGAGAATAGCTTGTAGCTTATAAATCTCGAAGGAATTTATACGTCATGGTACTTTTTCATGGTTATTTTGTTTGACGGGGGTTTTAAATTTAGTTTGTCAAACTGTATAACGAGGATGTATTTATTAAAACGCTTAAACGGCTTAAAACGCAACATATTGGATAAACTAAAATGAACTTCGGATCCGAAACGGATCGTAGTTAAAATAATTTAACTAATATATATCGTATTTCAACCCGTTAAAATGCATACTTCTCGCGTAAACTACAGACAGTATTTAACGAGGATATATTTATTGACCAAGAGGGCAATTATCAGAAACCTTACGTCGACATAAGTAGCAAAATATGATTTGTGTAAAATTAGTGACTAAGTTCGACCTAAAAATAAAGATACTTTTCGAGAAATGTCCTACTTGTAAATTTGACCTAGAATCGAAATTATACTAATAATGTTTATATAATATATTAGACTCTACCGAGTAGATTTATCGTTGCTTCACATGTGAATGTAGGTTGCATTAAAACACGTTCCGTCAAAATATATTATAAAAGATAATCGTGCCGGTGTTGCTTTATCAATTAAACGCCCATCCCTAAAATTAGCGAAGTTAAAATCTCCAGCATTCCGGCCTTTTCGTATCCGTCTATTAAAGCCTTTACTCAAGTTTATGAATGAAAACTACTTAATACTCTTTTCACTTATATTTCAGTCAATGAAATAAACGATATAAAAGATTTTAAATAAATAGAGCTTTAATTAGTAGAACTTTCATTGACTTTTTCATTTTTTATAAATAGACATGACCGTCTCTGTGGTTCAGTGTAGCTTTAAAGAAAGGCTTAGGTTCGAAACCCAGCAATTTATTTTATTATCAGATAGCCTAAAAAAAACCTTATTGTCTCTTTTGAATTTTTGTTTATTTCTTTACGCAATAAAGTGTTAATAATAAATAAAAAACGGCTACACGAACCACCTTGTGCCCCATGCCCCACATTAAAGGATACAATATTTCCCAAAGCTGTAGAGCCATTAAGGTTTTTGTATGTTTCAATTTAATTGGTCTCTATACAGCTGAACATGGAAACGGGACCACACAGCGCCGGTTCACCTCTTGTTAAGTGTAATGATATGCACATTTATACGATGTTCAATGTTTATATATGTGCATATGGAATGTTATGTTTCTATTATTCCAGCGAACACCACACGGAGTGATATAGCATATACTTATTAAGACTGATTTATGTCTTTAGTTTCTATGTGAACTCGATTTACAGTAAAAATCGTGACTTTTCAAAGTACGTACGTGTTTTTCAGCTACGTAAAGTACTTTAACGAATTTTATGTTTGGTAAATATAACAAATTAAATAAAGTAATCAGGAATATTTGAATAAAACATTAATAACGGTTTAAATCACTAAAAATAATGGTTAACTTATGTTTATTTTAATTCGCCTACCGCTTTCGGATGTTTGGCATCAAGTCAACCACAGTCTCGGGGGTGATAAAGGATATGTTTAACTAATATATTTCACGTTTAAAACCGGTAAAAGTGTTTCATTTAAGTGTGTGCTACTCGGATACACTACTGGCAACGCTTATTCAAGAGTACCTTGAAGCACAAGGTAAACAAGTTACTACTACAAAAACCACGCAGTTTTAGTTCAATACATTTGTATGCAAAGTGCGTTTCAAACAACGCCGTCTCTATGTATTTGGAACGGAGAGTATACGCCAAATTATTGTGTAAACTGGCATTCTGCCCGCGAAGGAAACGCTCTCAGTATAATAGTATTATAATGCCGTCATTTTTCATAAACCCTGAATAATAATATACGCGACGTCGTTGTTAGCTTAGGCTTTGCAACTCTCTTTTCTAATATAACTTAAACTTTTCTCGCTGACACACTTCGGCGGCCATTTGATATTGGCTTAGGATTCTTGAACGCTTACGAACTTACTTGAGGTTGATTAATATAGAACCTACTTCTTTATCCTTCATAACCATAAGCGTTTTTATAATTAAAGTTTTCTCCTAAAATACAAAAGTTATACACAATTAAAATAACTACATTGGGATAAATGTTGAACAAATTTTGCCAAACCTCATATGTATTTATTTAGCAAATATGATGGGGTCTGGGTTTGCAGAGCTGTCGAGTATCCTGGTCCTAATCTGCAATTTAGAATAACCACCTTCCAACAATTAACGAAGCAAAATAAGACCTTAAGTCTGTAATCCAAGGCACATTTTCGCATGTCTGTCATATCATAATTATTAGTTTGTAAACAGCTTAAAATTCACTCAAGCACGCGCACATTCTGTTGAACTTTTGATTAAAATATTACAATGGTTCAATTATTATTTTTATTTCTGCATCGCATTTTATTTATCAATACATAAAGATATCAAAGATATGAAATTGGCTTTTTTTGAAAGAACCATTCATTGTTCTGGTTAGGAAGCGTGATGGATGGTTTACCCAGGTAGCCGGTTATTATATTTTTGTGTTGAAAAAATTCTCCCAAACACAAACAGTTCTTTTATACGAAGGATAATAGAAGCCCAGTTCTAGCGAGTCGAATTCCGATCGGTTACGGCAGTTTAACACTTAATGGATATTTTTATATTTTGGTTGAATAGGCCGTAATAACAATTTGAGCTCATTAATAGCCAGTGAGGCGAGGAGCGCTCCACTACAAAGAGAATATATTGAAATATTTTAGATTAGCGCACACATCAATAATACTAAATGTTTTTGGCAGTTTCATTACCGCGTCGCACAAAATAGGGTCCTAACTATTACCGATATTGGACAAACAATGTACAGATTTAGGTTATTGAGAATTCATGTTGAATATACCGAACAATCAGGTTGTAATTAATTTGTTATATCGGAAAATACACTCTTCGAAATAATATATCAGTGTTTAACGTCCATTCAATAAACAACGGCTCAAAAAGTAATCTTGATTTTTGTACATTAACACCAATCGTAGGTGTGATGGAGTTTATAATTACAGTAGTAAATTATAATAAAATGTATTAAATCCCGTTGGATTACTGAAATCAAATAATAATATTTATTTCGCGCATGTCTTTGTCCACTGAGCGTAGAAAATTAAGTAATTCATTTGATATGGAAGGGTAGAAGTGTATTTGACGTAAAAAACGGGGTACACAGCCATCAGATGAAATAGCCTCGCATGGCTGCGTCCCAACGGGCTCCTGCCTCGTTCGACCGTCCCCATTCTTATTCAGATGTCCAGATAAACATTCATAGGTTCCCTCTGTATTCACTGAAATAATGGCCGCTAGTTTAAATTATTTCCGGACGACGATTTATATGTACAAACTAGATTTGATTAAAATGTTAATTCAATTAATTAAGCCCTGTACGCGTTTTAAGATTTTATCAATTCGGTGTGCACGTTTGCATAATGGTGGAACGTTAGGTTCGTTGTATTTTATAGCTGCATACATAATTAGCTTAATGACAAATAAGAGATAGCGACAGCGAGCTTTGTAACTCGTCATTAGAGGAAGACAACGAATGATGTAGCGCAGCAGAAATAAAGGATTTGTGTCAAGAGTTGAGTTCTAGACAGCGCCGCTCTCAGCCCGTCTCTCGCAATGGCCACACGAGTGCTGAGCAAGCAAGGCGAGTCGGCTCGGTATGACGGCTAATGAAGATATGCGAGAGCACTCGACCGTGTAAACGAGCGCCGCCCGAGGCTCCGTTCCTGTTTACTCCCGCGGGATTAGTAATTTAAAAGTCAATGCGGACACTCGAAAGGGTCAATCGCATCGCGCTCGTATTGAAAACAGATACCCTTTTCTGTATTCCGGCGGTGGCCCGTCAAAGTTATAAGGGCTGAGTTGTTGAACTATGTAATTGACTCGGTTCTGCGGTCACGGGCTTTGTTCTGCGAGGGCGGATAATCGAAAACGCCTCTGGTCAGCGGCGACTGGCGTCAAACAATACGAGGCCGATATGTGGAGCGACCGGACGACCCCTTGTTTGATCTGCGAAGAGCTATTTGCCGAAAGACTGCGGAGAAAGCAGGAAATTGGGACTCGGTTCCATCTGCGCTAACGCTCGTCCGATTACTTCCTTTTCAACAGTTTAACGAGCCAAAGCGACAAACGTTTTAATAAGAGACCGCTCCTTAATTTGGCCCTTTGTTCGAAACAATTTAGGTGAGTCGGCGCAAAACCGATATGTCATACGAAAGCGAGTGAAGCACGCGTCGGGGAGATGCGACGCCGGTCACAAAATAGACAAAAGCGTTTAGCCGCTGCACGAATGGCGAGCTATTTAAGTTTGAAGCGGTCCCTCATCAGTTTTATTTTCTCGCACAAAACACGTCGGCTGTCGCAACGCATTATGCCGGGAGCGCCACACGCAACACAGTTTTATTTTCGGGCAAACGTGGACGTTTCCAATGATTGACTTATCCTGGGGTAATTTGAGAGGCCCTCGTGACGTGAGCGGTCGCGCGCGCCGCGTCAGCCAGCTCTACCGCCGAGACTCTCCTGAGGGTAACTCTATATTCACCAGCTAAAGCCATCAGTGACATCCGACAGGTATTAAAATGAAGCATCTTTAATGTCACCGCTGCATGTCTCGTTTGAGAGTGCCGGAACTTGGCGTGTGGTATTTTTGTTCGTGTCAGAATCTTATTTTGACTCTTGAAAAATTCTATTCTACCTTACTGTTGTTTTTGTCAAATAAAGAATCTATACTCTACAAGCATTGGATCTGAATATTTAATAAAATAATATCGAATTACAGGAAAACTTTCTTGTATCATGGGAGATGCGCCAATCGGTCTTCGAAACGAACTGGATACACGCTTTTGTTTACCTAACAAAACACTGACGGTCTCGGGTGGTTTAAAAGTCTTATGTTTTAAGAGAAAACCAATATGGATGTACCATCTGTGTGTTGTCGTTTTCAAATGGCCGGGAGTGCAGAGTAACCCGATACATCAGCGGAGCGAGATGAACTTTAAATAAAAGGAATAAAATGTACCGCTGTAGTGCATTTAAGCAACAACAGAGCTTTTCTTAGCGGATAAGTGTGCACAGAGCACGAGCTTAGCGAAATGAAAAGAAAATAAAACCGGGTTCCAGCGGCGTTAGCCGGCTTAACGTATCACCATAATTCAATAGTTCGTTGCTACCAAAAAGAGCATCAAATTTATTACAAAACTCGCATGCACGACCCTCACCTATTATTTATGGCACTCGGTTGGCTGTTACAAAAAACGGGCGACTGCGACCGGCTCAGCGGGTAACTTCGGGATATAAGCTGCAACAACATGCATTTCCTTTACTTAAAAGATTTCACCATTAATCACAGCGCACTGTAGAATGAACCTTCTGGGTTATTATTTAAAAACTACTTCGTGTTTATTTTAGGGGTTTCTATTTTTCCACCGACGTAAATATATCAGTGACAAGTAATCCGGATTTATTGAATGCGTTTATATTTGAGATGCTTTAATGCAAGCCATGTGGTGGCAAATGTGGGAACCCCGCCAAGACATTGCCCCACTAAATAGCTTTATTACACCATTGTTACAACGCTACTATATTTAATTGTTCAGAATCGGGTAACCCAAGGTTTATACTTTGTGTGAAGACAAAACGATGATTAACAGTACGATTGAAGAACAGTATAAAGAAGCAAGTAATACATATACTCCTTGTGAATCACCTGTCAATTATTATGGGTATATACTGTGCTTTAATTTATAAGTAATTAAAAGTTTATCTCTATTAGAATTACCGGATTGAATGCCTTCACGTCTCACTAAACAACTTTCAATACATACCGGATGTGTTAAAAAACTTGCAGCCGAATGCAAGCTAAGTGGTGTCATTGAAATCTCTTTAAAAATAAATGGAGACCCTTTCTGTGCGTTCGCGGAACGTCACTTTTGTAGTTCAAGAGCTCTCGAACTTCCAATCCACACTAATCATTCTAAGACGAATGATCTAACAAAGCGAAAGATTCATAAACCATCTGCGCTATTTACAAAAGACGTGTTCGACAAACGCGAGACATCGCCGTTCGGCAGCGATCAATTTTAATCCCAAAAACGAGACAAATATCACGAATCGGGTCAACAGCTATCTTCTCACGTTTGTTGACTACTTAAAGTGTGATAATATTTATTAAACGGTTCATTCGAGACGAGACGACGATAAATAAGCTGGTGAAACCATTGAGCGTCACGCGAGATTTACTATTTATGGTAAACACGATTTTTTATATGCAACAGAGCATTGCGGCTTCATATTCCGATTCGGGTTGCGATCTTATCTTTATGTTTTACTCGTAATTAGTATTTATTTATGGCCCAAGTTTTGACACTACGTAGATAAACAGCGATCTTCTGTGTATAAAGCGATTAAGAGTCGGCCCATGCGCCTTTAAGGACGTACTAGTTAAGCCATTAAGGTGGTTTTTGTGAGAATAATGTCCGAATTCCAAGATCTAGCACGCGATAGTTAAATTTATGCGTTTAAAATAGTGTTACAAGTACGGAGTGACGTTAAACGGGGCTGTGGGAAAATATGTTTGAGATTGTATGCATGATCGATTGGTTTTTTGGCGACAGTGACCACACAGATCGGTTGCGTGAGCTTCTGAAATACTTGCCATATGTCTGGAATAAGATACGCTGAGCTAGTTAACGGTCTAATGAGCTCGTTCTACCCCCGCGTATGTTTAAGCCGCGTATAAATCATATGATAATTGAATCATATGCTGCGTGTCAAAAGTAATTAACGAACTATGCTACGCCAAGATGTGTAATGCACATGTGCTTTTTTAATCGTCATCTCCGCTTCCACGCGACTCACGCTTCAGATAACATCGAATAACATTTCTTTAATTCTTCCATAATGAAAATTATTATAAGCAGCGCCATGATGACTTAATATTGCGTTCATTGTGTGGGTAAATTGAACGGTAGGGACGCTGCGGGCGCCAAAGTGATAGCTTAAGCAGATGGAGTGACATATTTTACTTGACGAGTTTATGACTTTATATTCTACGCAAGATAAATGGTTTTATAAGCTGTTTAAACGTTTTGGCGTTTAAGGATAATTTATTATTTTATTTATTAACACGGACTACAGAAGAAAACTTTTATTATTAGAGACTTGGCTTAAAAATGAAGCTTCTAAATACGCAGACACGGCATTTTTTAATTCGATTAAGTCTATATAATTATCAAAGGCAACTTGTTAACAAAACAATATAATATAATATATGTAATTATTTTTATATGTACAATTTCTTTTATAGTTTATCAGTTGTTTTGTTGTTACAGTCTAATTGAAATGATCGATAATTCGTTTCAGATAATTTTACACTCCCATAGAATTCAAATCAAGTTATATACACACACAAGATGAAGAGTTATCGCGATAAGCTATAAAATCTTTCACAGTACAGATCCAATTACCTTAATGAAACATACCAATTTTAGCGTTCGAAGTTTTAGCTCTTTCCCACGAACGCAAGAGATTAAAGCGCATTTATTTTTTACTCTAATTTCGCGATATATCCGCGCTCAAAGTATTTTAGGGATCTATTTCGCTGAGAGCTATTTTCCTAGCGAAGGTTAAGGATGAAATATTAGAGGTATCGCGCCCACCCCGACTCGTAATGAGACCCTTAGGAATACGTAGCAATATCTTAATACCTCGGCCCGGGGTGACAAATACCCGGCGTTCGCGCGGAATTGTTAATAATTTATAACCACTCGTTTTACCTTCCGACGTTGTATGTTGACAAGACGGGTCGCGTGTTAAGATATTGCACGCTGAACGCGAACACCTGGCAATGTTTTATATATTATAGATACAAAAATAGCTTATATGTCTCCAGATATAGCACAGAATTTTTAAGGAACTACTTTCTTGATTGCCTACCATCTGTATTATAAAAAACTCAACGAAGTGTTACGAATTGTCAAGTTCAATGCGGAGACGAACTTTCAAGGACTGGCTGGTTGGAGTCAACGCTTAATTCGCTTTGAAAACAATCACGTTTCCTGAGTGAAGTTGAATATGGAGCTCATAAAATGGCCATAAACCGGCGGCGAGTGAGAGGGCCGTTGGGGCAACGGATTCTTTGATTTGTGTAGAGCAGCTGTTTGAAGCGTTAATAACTTAATTCGTCAGAGCTGACGGTGCGGAAGAGGGTTCTAAACGTCTATACTGGTTGCACGTGACCGACAGCGCCACGGAAAGACAAGTTTAGATGACGTTTCAAAGGAAGAAGTGTAGTTCAAACGGGAGCTAGTGACGGCCATTTTATTGTTTTTATGATAACAGTAATCATTATTGTAAATGAAAATAACTTAACTTTTTAGCCATTCCAATAATTAGTGCAGTTATAATCCGCTTTACTTAGTTTAAAATAGATTTCGTATGCATAGTGACATTTTTTTATTTGTTTAATAAATAATCACACTAAACAGATTCTAAATGTTTTTGAATGTCTGTATATGAATGTATACTATAAAATTCCTAAAATTAAGTATTCAGAATAGTATAATCACAGCTTATATAAACTACTTTTCCATACTTTCCAAAACATGAATAACAGCGTAACATGCATAGTAAAGTATCTTTTTTTTACTTACCGGGGCGACAAACTTAAGCTGCATTACTTCTTTACTATGTATCAATTCATTCGAATGTTCTTCACTATCATCGGTAGATGGCGACGCATTTATGTCTTCGTTAAATGCATTCGTCTTTAGTGTTTTTAAACTAATAGTTTATCAAGCCGTCGCCACGCCAATGTACTCGTGGTTTTAGTAGAGCTATTTAAGTTTATGGACACTTTTTCGGTATTCTGAATTGAAATGGAGGCTATTTTGAACTAAGCTTAAATGGGTAGACGATAACTTTTTATTTTATTTACGGTTAGAACAGTTTTCTCTAATTAATAATTTACCATAGCGAGTCAATGATAAATTATCTTTTAATTTTCATTTAGTACATTTCCTATTTAATACATCGTAAACATAAGTAACCATTGCACTGTGTACATATTATGTGGCTCTTTCCGCATTCATCTTATTTTGGGAAGGTTACTTCAGGGCCTTCTATTCAAGCGCACTTAAAATCTCGTTTCCAAGCTATTGAAAATAAGTGTGAAGATGACACTTAACGTAGTGTCGCGTGACATATAACCTAAGGGCAATTTTAAATTATTAAAATAGAAGATTAATTTAAAAAATTACGACATAGGCAGGAGTTGAACCAGCATACACAGCGTTCCGTGTTGTTGTTCTAACCGTGTCCTACAAGTCCTCGTCGAATTCTTTTCATACCTAAGTTTTAAAATTGAAATTACATTGCGCAATAGGTTGTTCTATTATAACCTATATATTATGTTTTTGTAATAGCATTTCCCTATATTGGTCGATTGTAAGCATATTGACTCGGCACAACGCGTAGCGCCCTACGAGAATAGAAGGCCACAACCTTAGATAAACTCATAACTCACAATTCCAACGTCGACGCCACTTTATGCACGTAAAGTGTCACCTGAAGTCGTCTCAAGAGTATTTTTATATGCAACTAAACGAAGATGAGACGAAAGTACTTAATAATGTTAGTGTTTCAAATTGATGTCCATGAGTCAACTGTATTTGAGTTATAGTGGGAGTTTAAATAAATGGTTATCGAGTGTTTAAGGTACACCTACAAATTCTCTTAATACTTGGAAATGGGGTGAAGTACCTTTTGACATTACTTAGATATTTTTTTTCTAGAAATAGATTATACAGTCCTTACGTTCCAATACGTTCCAATATATATTTATAGCATATATGTAGATATGATAACGATATTAAATCCTATATGTATGGTAACTCTATATTTGCACGTAAGAATCTAAGTAAAAAAGACGTCTCAACAGAAATAAAATTAGGTAAAAACAACAAATTCAGAAAATGAAAATAGGAGACGCTAAGACTTAAATTTAC